CCCCCACCCACCGCCGCCTCTCATCAGCAATGGCGTGACGGACCGGCAGAATAAAAATGAGTTAATGCTGTTTTTCTTTTTGTCTGTCGAAGAGGGCGAGGGGAGGCGGGGCGCAGGAATGTCAGGCGCTGATGGTCRGCAGCCGTCTGGGAGCTCCCGCATCACTTCCTCCTCAGGTTTCTGACGCACGTCACCTGACAGGAAGTGAAATCCTTCCAGGACGGAGGCTTGTTGGAGAAACCTCACCTCAAACATGATGAGGTATTAGTGTGTGTGTTTATGACAGATTATAATATCAGATTATTATATCAGCACCATGTGGAGCAGAGCTTTCAGCTCTGGAACTCACAGATTACAAAAGACCACCTCTCTCTCCCTGTTTAAGACTGGCCTGAAGACACATCTTTTCAAATTAGCCGACAACTGTTAACTCCTATTTTCAATATATGTCTGTTTTTCTTGTCCACACTTCTATGTTTCTCCCTCCACAACCCTGTTGTTCATTTTGTCTGCATTTTTGTATTTTATTATGTGACTGTTCTGTACTCCACATCTCTGTTTCCCCCACATTACCTTATGTTTATATATGTATCTACATTTTTTTCTTTTTCTATTGTACAGTGTCCTTGGGTGTCCTGAAAGGCGCTTTATAAATAAAATGCATTATTATTATTATTATCATTATCATCATGAAACAAATCAGTAAGGTCATTTATTAAACTCTTATCAAACTTTTTCGGTTTATTTTGCTGAACAGTTTCTCAAACATGATAAAAGTTTCACTTCTTCAAGGTCACAAAAACCTTCTAGAACCGTTTTATATTTTTAAAATAACGTTTGAACACTAAATTAAAATGGGAGTGAATATAATTGAGTGTGCTAAGATGTGATTTTGCTGCCCCCATGTGGCAGATCTGTGAAGATTTAAAACCTGCTTGTTTTCTTAGATTCCTCTAACTTGTCTGAAGTGAACACTTAAATCAGTTTGAAACAGTTTTAATAAATTGTTTGGTCTTAATAACAACTTACAAACATTTTGTTTTGACTGGTTTACTCCTTTCTGCTCTTTATTCCATCTGTCAGCAGCGTGTAGACGTCCAGAAGTACAACGGAGTATTAGGGCCACACGAGATTTTTTTATTATTATTACAACAATAAAGTCGTTATATTATGAGAAAAAAAAGTCATAATCTTACATGACGTGTCCATCTTCCATTCCTCATTTCCTCCTTATTTTCCTCACACCTGTTGTTTACAGCCATATCTGTGTTTATAAAGTCGTCCATGATGACTTGGGTCACTGTTAGTTTAATATGCTTTCATCCAAATTAGCTACGTGACGACTCAAACTGTCAATGCATCCATTAATTACAATACGGCGTCAGTTTAGCCACAATTAGTCGATTACTCGACGACTAATCGATTATTAAAATAATCGATGACTAATTTAATAATCGATTAATCGTTTTTTGGGGGAGGGGTTTTGTTCTTTACTTTGTTTTTCTCTCCAAACTGCTTTGACACCTTCCACTGCCACGTCTACCTTTCTGTC